GCTTTAACTGCCCAATTACAACTGAAGTTTGATGTTTTTGTAAAGAGATGGTTACCTATAGAGAGATTTATTTCCAATTGTACTGAATCCTACAGACTGTTATAATGTACTAACTGTCCATCTTTCTAGTTTATTTGCCAATTTTACATTCTGTATCAGTCAGCTCCATGGATGCTGGATTTTCTTTTACTTGCTCTCCGTTATGCACTGTTACATAATATCTATATGCCAAGGAATGTTTAGCAATGTGTGTTCTTCTTCATGTTTGTTTAAAAAGCAAATACACATAAAGTTTGAAAAAAGAAAACGTGGAGATGAATGAAAAGTTCTCAAGGCCAGCATAAAAATAATCTGTTCTTTAAATAAAGTTATACTGAAACCTAATAGGACTATATTTTCACAATCTAAACCTTTTTTCTATTTATGTCTACCAAGATACAGCTGTGTGTTTTGTTTTAAACAAGCTTTTGTTATTTTGATAGGATATAAATGTAAAATTTAAAGTTAATGTATATTTCACTTTTTCACGTTCTGATCATTTTTCTCTGTAGAAATTTTACAAAAAGAATTACATTGAAAATGTAAATTATACTCTTTAGTGCATCTTTATAATAGTTTTAAAGCCTGCATAAATTTTTTTGGGAGAGGGACGAATATCAATTCATTGGAAAGACACGAATGAATGACACAAATGTCACTCATGGGGCGCTAAATTCCTGGTGGCACGCCTGCCTCCATCCTTTCTTTCAGTAAAAAAGGGAGTTTTTTTATCTCCACTGTCCCTGCATGCATGCTTGGTTTTAGGTATTGCTGCAGAATAAACGACACAATACTGGGAAATATTTACTGTTGCCAGATGCTCATCCAGCAGGAGAGAATCCTGCAAAGTCAGTGACTCAATGCAATCAGCTGGGATTCCTTAGAAAACTTTTAACCAATTATAAAAATGATTAATGAATCATATAATTATATGATCTGTTTGAATTGTCTCTTTAAAGTGCCTTAACATGACATTTGTTGTGAAAAGTTTACTAATAAAACTCAATTGAATCTAAATGCTGTATTACCTAGACGGATGTCCAAGCTATTTCTTCTTCTCAAATCTGTGTAAAGAAAGAAACAAGAAAGGTATTTGGACTTAAATTTGTAAAAAGAGTCAACAGTGATAAATGCTAAAGTGTTTATATAGACGTTGATTTTTTAGGATGCTTTTGGCCCAAAATAAAATATGGCTCCATGACATTAAGCAAACTTGCGACATTACAACACCTTGATTGATCTGACACCACAAGATCCACATTAACGAATGTCTAATTTCATGAACACACATATAAAGATATTTGTATCTTTGATTAGTAAACTTACCAAGCTCTGTCTGCGCCATCGCTGCACTGGATGCTTTGGTTTCCTGGTTGAGAATAACACCTCACTGGAAATGTTTCGATGTATCGCTTTAAAAAGCAGATTGGATGGGTTAAAACAAGCATACTAATAAAACTAAGGATCAAAGGTTTGACAAAGTCCTCAAAGAAACATTTTCGTTAGACATTTTAGATCAAGTAAACAAGTTGTGTGAGCAATCGCTCCACAGGTGCCAACAGAAGCATCATGTTAAAGTAGTTGTCCTCAAACAATGATCTCTAATCATTCACTGAATTGCTGATAGTTGGTAGTACTGGGTTGAAGTAAAGCCACTAGACGCCATATTGGCACTCCCTACATGTAGTTAGACCGGTTGCAATCAGAGGCGTAGCCAGAAAATTTTATACGGGTGCCCAGGCAATAACCAATGTACACTGAGGGGTGGCCAAAAGTACGTCTGATTCTTAAGGTAGATAGGCACCAGAACCTCAGGGTCAATCTACACTGTTCCAACAGTAAAATTAATGAGCAAAACATCCATATTTTCTAAAGAAAGACAAACTATATTTTCTCACAGCCTTTGCTAAGAAATAGACGAATAAATTCAAACATCTGTGCTTTGTAGATAAAAGGTATAGTGATTAAATTATTTCAGGTTTGAGTTTTGTGCAAACATCTTTTCCATTGTCATTATTTACCTACTTTTATCAGTAATCATTCTGCATAAAATTGATATTTATGAATACTAGTATCTACATAAATTGATTATTTAATAAGCTTTTATTAAAACAGATATTTACCTATGATTTCACTCAAGACTCCTAGATGACTTGCAGAGACACATTTTCTCTTTACCAGTGGTGTCAAAAGTACACACATTTGTTACTTAAGTAGAAGTATAGATACTGCAGTATAATAACAGTTGAAGTATCAAGTTGACCTCTTCACTCAAGTAAAAGTGAAAAAGT